GAGAGAGAGAGAGAGAGAGAGAGAGAGAGAGAGAGAGAGAGAAGAGGGGGGGGGGAGAGAGCTCTTAAGATAAGTTACAAGAATGTCTAATGAAAAGTAGGTTTCATTTAAAACAAAAGTTGACCTTCATATGTCCTTGGCATGTTCACCCAAGTTCGAACCAATAATAAACCAGATAAGAACGATAGGAAAAAAATTTAAATAAAACAACAACGGTGTGAGATATAAAATAGATTCTGGCTCTATTTTGAAGCTACATTCATGTCATTATGTGTGGAATAGCACATCATTCAAATGGCCGCCTCGGCTTCGCTGGCAGTGCTTCAAGCAGTCGGTCCAATTTTTGATGACTCGGTCCAATATGTGCGGCGTTATTCCGGCAATAGCGTCTCGAATGTTGGCCTCGAGCTCGTCCAAAGTGGTTGGCTTGTTAGCGTAGACTAAGGACTTGACGTAGCCCCAGAGAAAATAATCGAGTGGTGTCAAGTCGCATGATCGCGGCGGCCAATTGATGAACGCTCGCCGTGAGATGATCCAGTCGCCAAATTTCTCCTTCACAACTTCGAGCGTTGCGTCGCTTGTATGGCATGGCATAGCGTCGTCTTGTTGGAACCACAGCTCGGATATATCGATGTTGTCGAGCTCTGGCCACAGAAAGTCGGTTAACATCGCTCTATACTTGAGACCATTGACGGTAACGGTGTCTCCTTCCTCATTTCGAAAGAAATAAGGTCCGATGATGCCGCCATGCCATAAACCGCACCAAACAGTCAATCTTTGTGGATGCATTGATGCTTGGTCGAACACTTGTGGATTGTGTTCGCTCCAATAACGGCAATTTTGCTTGTTGACATAGCCGCTGAGCCAAAAATGGGCCTCGTCTGAGAAGATGATTTTTTTGGCCAAAATCCGGATCTCCGGCCAACATTTCCAGCGCCCAATTAGCGAACTCACGGCGTTGTCTATGGTCGTCCGGCTTCAATTCTTGCGTCAGCACAATCTTATACGGATGTAGGCCCAAATCCAACCGCAAAATAAGTCGGGTTGACTCTCTGGCGATGCCCAATTCAGCTGATCTGCGCCGAATCGACATGTCTGGGTCTTCTTCGATACTGGCCGCTACGGCGGCTATGTTTTCTTCATTTCGCACTAATCTCTGTCTGGTTGGTGGCTTAAGGTTCAAAAGGGTGTACTCATGCTCAAACTTTTCCACGGTGCGACGAATTGCCTGCACACTGAAACCATGATGACGACCGACCTCACGACGAAATTCACGTTGCGTTTTTACAACTGAGCCGGAATTTCGATAATATTTTTTAATAATTTCCGCACGTTCGGCAAGCGTGAAACGATGCATGATGAAATGGCAAACCTTACTGAATATTTTGACAGCTGGATGTCATTGGTAACTTTGACAGCTGCTGAAACATAACAATTGGAAAAAGTATCATTGCTATCTGGTCACCCTTTACCATCTTATGTCCTACTTTGAATAAAACAACTTTTTGTATGCATATATGTTGTATTTCATAGCCAATATATGTATTTAAACGACTAGACAGATGTAGAATTGTTATGAAAGTAAAATTTAATTTTACATTGTAATATCGATTAATTACAGAAATAAATGTAACGATTAGATGCGTTTTGGCACTACGATGTCTTCTTCAGTATATTAAACCATCGTGAAAAAGATAAAATTACTAAGTCGCAAAATAGATGATCGTGTTAAAAATGTAAGATGTGTCATTCTAATGAACCGCTCGCATTTCAGTAATAGTTTTTCAGTAATAGTTTTAAACGCAAATTAACTATGTCATGTTCGGCATGTTACAATTCGAAAAAGATCATTTTGAGTCTCTCGAACCGTTGAAGACTCGGGACAAACAGAATTTTTAACTATTGATCTAATTTTTACATATTGCTGTATATTATGTTTCACAAAACCTTCATACTGCCAAGATTCTCACCCTAGAGGAATTAATTATTAGACACCTTTAGCTACGTGTAAAAATGCCGAACATGACATAGTTAATTTGCGCTTAAAAACTATTATTGAAATGCGAGCGGTTTGTTAGAATGTGGTACTTCTTACATTTTTAACACAATAATCTCTTTTGCGACTTATAATTTTATTTTTCTTACGATGGTTTAATACACTGAAGAAGACACCGTAGTGTCAAAACGCGTCTAATTGTTACATTTATTTCTGTAATTAATCGTGATTCATATTACAATGTAAAATAAAATTTTACTTTTATAATAATTCTACATTCTATTTGCTCATTTAAATATTGGTCGTGAAACATAACATGTGTTATTATTAAAGAACGAGCGTGACTATTTTTTCTTTTTATATAAAACTTATTCTTTGTAACTGTGTGTCCTGTACCTACTTCTCTTTTTTACTTTTTTCTTGTTAATGTTTAATTATGTCTTGCATTTTGAGATGCCTAAAATGTAATATAGTTAGTTCAATTAGAACAAACGGATATATTTATATGATATCATAGGACATTAAGAAACATCATATTTTAGACATATTCCATGGCAGAACTTGATTTAAAATTATACGAGTTGGAAGATAAATATACCAAGAAGATAAAATAACGATTGTTGTAAAAATGTACTGATGATAATTATTTTGTAGAATTTCTTTTAAAATAAAAAATATGAAGTATGTATATAAGGAATACAAACACAACTTATCTACACGTATAACCATGAAATCTGTATAAGGCACGTTCTTACATACAGGTCCGAAAAGTCATATGGTGGAGGCACAGTATAACCAGTATGCCCACTCTCTGTCGGCACCTTTGATCTGGGCGTTCTCAGTTTTCCGCCATATTTTTAATCGCGCCAATAGTGTATCAACGACTAAAAGTGCCTGGGCCCTTTTCAGGATCGTATCCAGGAAAGGCGCATACGAACTAGCGTACATTATTTATTGTAAATGGAAATGGCCTATGAAAAAAAATGTTATAATAAAAGTAATTAATGTAATTACTTGTTCCAACGTATAAAAGTATTTACGCGTTATTCGTCAACACTGCGAATTTTTCAATGTCACACCGACTATGCACTAACACACGTACAAAAATCCTGTAATTGGTCAGAATAAAAACATGTCGGATGCGCAATACGGATCGGCGCGAACGTGAAACAAAAGAGCGAGTGCCACTACTGGTTATACTGTGATGCAACTATGCAATTTTGTGTGCGATGGCCCCATGGAGAATGTATAAGGAGACCGAACTGCCCGTAATCAGAATGGGCCGATGTTTGTGCCCGCCAGACGTTCTGAAAAGCAATACTGGGAGCGCTGTCATCAACTAACTCCATTCGCATTCGTACGTGACACATGGTTGTCATATGCATGAAGCTTTCGTGGTTATAT